AGCCCAGACAATGGTAACAAAATCTAAGTTCAAAGGAAGAGGGTAGCAAAAGTGCCTGAGAATGGAGCTTTCCTAGTTTTGGGGAGAATAGAATGAGGATGGAAGGGATACTTTCAGACTTGCAAGATTAAATCGTAACTTTACAATAAAGATGTAACTAGCACTCCCGGATGTATTTCTTGTCTGGACTACCTCACAAGGCTGACAGATAAACTACTGAATTACATTTTTATTCTTTCCTATTAGTGGACTGGATTAGATTAGATCATGGTGCTTTCAGCCCTCCAGATAAAAGTGAAAACAGAAGGAAGAAGTGAAAATAGGCTGGCCCCTAGCTGCTTTGAAAGTTTGGGGAAGCAGGGAGATGGAAGTGGTTGGAAGTTTCTTAAATAATTTCCCTACTAGCAGTTTGGTTATCTTTGTTCCTTTATCATCTATCATCAAAAATGGACAGAGGGGTGTAACAAAGTATTTTGAAAGTGTTATCATCACTATTTAATGTTGAAGATCAGACACTGGACATTCATTTAACAGGTCTTCCATAAATATTTCTTTTGAGAAAAGTGTTTATATTCTACTACAAATGTTTTCCTTCTGAATTTAATTTATATTAATATATGAAACCACAAAGTAAAAAAAGAAAGAATGCATCTGTATTGATATTGAATATAATAGCATTTTATACAGTAAACCCACAATATGCGGACTATTCATTTAATGTTAAATGTGCAGCCCATTAGTCTCAGAATACAATACAAAATTTTATTGCCAGAAAGCTGTCTGATAAGAGTTCAAGGAAGTTTAATAGTTGTCCAGAATACAAGATGCCAAGGGTGTTGCTTTTACCATCACATCAATACTCCATGACCATGCAGAGGTCACATTTTTCAATCATATTTTGAACATAAGCAGAAATCCTTACTTATAATCTCAGCACTTCATGACTTGCAGCATTTTTAGAAACAGTAGGTCACCCAGTCCATCCCCTGATGTCTTTCAGATTGTGTGATTATGCCTCTGATAGATCATCTTTAGTCATTTCCAAGGATAATCAGTGGGAAGCTAAGTAGCATCTTCTCCCCCACTCTCATTATGATCGTTTTTGAACATTTTTCTGGATGGAACCTNTCTCACGTAGATTTTGTGCCTGCGTAAATTTCACATTTCTCACCCATATCAACTCCCAGGTATCCATAGATATTATTTCTCCTATATTTTGAGCCCATTTAATCATACAATCTTTAACTAGCTCAGTTTCTGAATCCAATTCTAATAAAACATTATATATCCTTCTAATATGTCCTTTAGCATCGTCCCTTACTTGTTTAAAAAAATCCCCATTTTCCATAAAAGAAGCAGTTTTTTTGTCAATTCGCCATCTCTCTTGAATTTGTCTATACACAAGCCAAGAAAAGTCTGGATACTTCCGTAAAAGTCAAACTTTCTGTTCCAATTTTTATTGTACTGAAAATTTAAAATATGTTGAAGTTTGCATCCACAAATTTGCAATAATTATGATTATCTTGTCTTAGGCATTTCTAGACATTACGTATTAGCTTAACTTGTTTTGGTTTGGTACTATTATCCTTTACTGCTTAATATGGACACCTCCACAAGAGGGCTTTGCAGTGCTTTAAAGCCAGCTCTAGACTTGTACATTTGTACCATATCCCTTACATGGAGAGCTAAGGTAGTCTTTTTTTCCCTGGATCTGTATAGGTTTATCTGAAACAAAATCAAAGTTCATTTCTTTGAAACAACACTGCAGGGCTTGATGGAAATTGTGGATGGTTTCTTTTCTGGTGCCCAAAAGTCTTGTCTCACTCTATCTCTTGCATTGATTTTTCGTCCTCACCCCTAAAGTTTACTTCCTAATCCTGGAGTATTCATCTTCCCTTCTCTTCCAATCCAGCCACTGCATTATGCTGCAGCAATTGGGGAAAAAACACTGGTTGTAAAAGATACCAATATGTTCTTAATCTGCTGCCATGGTTTACAATGGATTTTATATTGTACAGTGAAGTAATGATGGCTTAACACCTTTATATTAATTATTCAGATTCTTCACCAAAGTCAGAGAAATATAGGCAATGTAACTTGTGTACTAAAAATGGGAAGGAGAGGAAAAAATCCAGTTTATTCCATCTCCTTCCTTTCTGTGTAGTGTAGAGATGAGCATTTTTTCTACTCCAGTCAGATAATGTAATAGTATGTGGGAATGACCTTGATAGTATGTGGGAATGACCTTGGAAGACAGAAGGAAGATCTGCAGCCCAGACAATGGTAACAAAATCTAAGTTCAAAGGAAGAGGGTAGCAAAAGTGCCTGAGAATGGAGCTTTCCTAGTTTTGGGGAGAATAGAATGAGGATGGAAGGGATACTTTCAGACTTGCAAGATTAAATCGTAACTTTACAATAAAGATGTAACTAGCACTCCTGGAGGTATTTCTTGTCTGGACTACCTCACAAGGCTGACAGATAAACTACTGAATTACATTTTTATTCTTTCCCATCAGTGGACTGGATTAGATTAGATCATGGCGCTTTCAGCCCTCCAGATAAAAGTGAAAACAGAAGGAAGAAGTGAAGATAGGCTGGCCCCTAGCTGCTTTGAAAGTTTGGGGAAGCAGGGAGATGGAAGTGGTTGGAAGGTTCTTAAATAATTTCCCTACTAGCAGTTTGGTTATCTTTGTTCCTTTATCATCTATCATCAAAAATGGACAGAGGGGTGTAACAAAGTATTTTGAAAGTGTTATCATCACTGTTTAATGTTGAAGATCAGACACTGGACATTCATTTAACAGGTCTTCCATAAATATTTCTTTTGAGAAAAGTGTTTATATTCTACTACAAATGTTTTCCTTCTGAATTTAATTTATATTAACATATGAAACCACAAAGTAAAAAAAAAGAAAGAATGCATCTGTATTGATATTGAATATAATAGCATTTTTATCCAGTAAACCCACAATATGCGGACTATTCATTTAATGTTAAGCGTGCAGCCCATTAGTCTCAGAATACAAGATTTTATTGCCAGAAAGCTGTTTGATAAGAGTTCAAGGAAGTTTAATAGTTGTCCAGAATACAAGATGCCAAGGGTGTTGCTTTTACCATCACATCAATACTCCATGACCATGCAGAGGTCACATTTTTCAATCATATTTTGAACATAAGCAGAAATCCTTACTTATATTCTCAGCACTTCATGACTTGCAGCATTTTTAGAAACAGTAGGTCACCCAGTCCATCCCCTGATGTCTTTCAGATTGTGTGATTATGCCTCTGATAGATCATCTTTAGTCATTTCCAAGGATAATCAGTGGGAAGCTAAGTAGCATCTTCTCCCCCACTCTCATTATGATCGTTTTTGAACATTTTTCTGGATGGAACCTATAAGTACCCAGCAATCCAAAAAGAAATTAGTCTATATATACACCTGAGCTGCTTGCAGGTTAGGAAGCTGTGTTGATCCCTAGGCCACAGGCTCTTTCTCACTTTGTCAGCTGTATCAGGGAGGGAAGAGAAAGGGGAGGAGAAAAGTCTTGAGTGTTTTTTGATGCACCCATCAGCCCAAATATATATATATAATTCAGGGCAGAACTGTGGAATCATTGGTGTTTTTGATGTATATACATGATGCTATGAAGTTAAGTAATAAAATGTCTGCAAGCAAAGAATTAACCTCAGAGTACACCAAGTACACCATACCTGCCTTTTCCCCAATTACTAAATGCAGTGCTTTTTTTCTAAAAAAAAAAAAAAAAAAAAAAGGTGCCGGAACTCACACACGTCATACAACCTGCCTTGCCTACCCTACAAGGTTCCATCCAAAAAAGGTGCCGGAACTCCATTCTGGGCGTTCTATGAGAAAAAAAGCCCTGACTAAATATAATTAGGTGGAGCTGCATTAATACCTAACTATACTTATAAGACATAAACTTACAAAAATGCCATTTTAATTGATGGTCTATAGTTAAAAATCAAGTAACCATGCTTTATGACACTTGCTTTTTTACACTTTAATAATGGATTCATGCAGCAGGCTTTTGAATCTTGGACCCACAGCGGTAGGTCTGTCGTCCCGTGATGGGATTCAAATATGTGAACAACCGGTTCTCTACATGGATGATGCTTCCTGAAGTCCATTCTGGGCCTGGGCAACAAAAAATTAGCTACCGGTTCTGCCGAAATGGTGCGAACCGGCTGAATCCCACCACTAGGATTTCATGTTCCAATGAAGTAAACGTGCAAGCACTGTTACTTGCACGCCCCTAGCAAAGCAGAAAACCGGTGGCCCTCCAGATACTGTTTTAATGACACATCCCATCTTCCCTGACTAATGTAGCTACTGGGAAGATCTCAGGTCCTCAACCTCTTGTGGGGAATTCCCCACAGTGGTGTATAGTTCGTGTGGATGCAACTCCGGGTCAGGAAAACGTAACTTTTGGACGAGGGAGGGGGAAGGGAAATAAAACGGCTCCCCCCTCACAAATCAATTAAACACTTCACTTCTTTCAGATAAAAGAAAGGGGGGGGCAAAGGCTCTCCGTGACGCATCCGGGAGAAACCCAGCCGGAGACGCCGAGAGAAAAAGGCTTATCCAGGTCAGACAGGCGCGATGACGACAATCCAGATCCAGGAGGATCACGTGCCGGGCTGCGCATGCGCCGCGTCTTTCGCGTCCCCAGCGCCCCCTGGAGACTCCCGCGCAACATCGCGCCGAGCAGCTCCGCTCTTTGCAAGCAGCTGTTGTTCCGCCAGGCAGGGGGTGTCACCTCGGAAAATCCCTCGGCGCCCGATGTGGAAATCCCCACTACGGAACTTTGAAGGGGGGGAGGGATGGAGTGTTCCTCCTAGTCGAACAGAAGAAAAAACAGATAGTCCGGTTGGACCAACCCAGAATATCTTTGCAACTCTTGGCAGGCCGGTGGCAGAGAGAGCAAGAGGAGGAGCCGAGTGGTTGAGCGAGGGAAGAAGCCCTTCATCCTAAAGCGCTCAAGGACGGGATTGGGATTCATGGCTCCCCAAGTTGCATCGCCCAACGCCTGACTCGTTCACATTGAAGAGGATTAGTAGCAGGCAGCAGGGTCTTTCCTCCGAGCCGGTCCGGGTAAGTCCAGTGTCCGGTTCCGATTCTGCGGAGCGGCTTCGCTCAGATGGTCGAGGAGGAACAGAGGGATGGCTGGATGCCTGGGGGCTGCACAATAGGGCTGCTTAAATGGGTGCTAGTCTGGAGTTGGGAGATTCACCCTCCTAGCTGCTTTCCTACCAATTTCTACCAGTTTCCTACCAATTTCTACCAAGAATCGGTCGCTTTGGAGACACTGAAATTTAGCATTATGGAGCATTTAGCATTATGGAGCATTTAGCATTAAGTAGAAACGAAGGAGCGGTTTCTCTCCAAGCTTTATTGTTTAATGCAGAAGTGTTTGGATTTTGAAAAAGCTATGAAGGCGATCAAAGGATGTATTTATCTTTCCTGTACACCAAGAGTTGCAGGGTGTGTTGGGATCTCTTGGACCTTATTTCATTCAGCTCTTGGAGGTCTCTGAATAGTGTTAGCTGTGCCTTGTTGTAGGAAGGGTGGCTAAGAATTTTTCCAAATAAATAAATAAACTACTCAGAACATAATGCCCAGGGAATGCAAGGCAATTTTCTTCCAAGAAATAAAAAAATAGCCTAATATAATAATCACACAGTTGAGGAACTGAACTGTAAACAAAGCTAGACCAGGCTTGCCAAAGACAGGTGCTTAGTCCAGCGGGGAAACTCAGATGTATTTATATTATAGAAAAGGTAAATATAGTTGATGCACACTCCTCCCTACTTAAAAATATCTGTAAGTATTATCACATCAACTCTTCTAATTTGGCTTAATCCATAAAGCAATGTTGTATACAAAGTGAATTGCTCTTTGGCCTAGGCAAAGCAAAACTTATAGGCTGAGAGAAACTTTAATTAGTTTATAAATAATAGAAGCTGGGTATAGTACTGAAGATAACTTGGGATTGAACTCTGGTACAAATAAACCTTTGCAGCAAGAACTACAAATGTACAAGTTATACTTGTTTGTTCTATAAAGTTACATAAGAGTAGGACAGCTCTTAAAAGTGGTTATGAAACAAGTATTTTCTATTTTTAAAAGAGTGCATTTTTTAAAAGAATGCATACTATATATGTGGATATTACAAGGCGTGATATAATATGCAGGTATATCTTTTAATGCTAATTTTACTATATTACACTACAAAAATGGATAAATGTGCCACTGGTGCAAAAAAATAAAAGAATCAATAAGATATAATCCTACTTATTGGAAAGGAAGCTACACTAAAGTGAAGGAATTCTATTAGTTATTCCATAAAACCTTTCAAAAGATTTTATAGTGAGGCATCTCCAAATTTTAACTAAAATTCAGATTCCTTAACAATGATTGTTAGCTCTTTGTATAATTATTGATTTAGGATAATTTGCTGCCAGAGACAAAACAGCAAATATAATACTCATTTTATGTAAAGTTTCATTGACACAAATAATTTTCTTTTTTTAAATGAATACAATAATAATATTAAAATTTGTCTAATGCCATTTCAGCTGCTTAAGGTGGTTTATGCGCTCTGCCTAATAACAGTAATGCTAATGAGACTGTAGAAGTTTTATGAATAAGTCTTCAAACTATGGATATATAGGCCCACAGAAGTAAAACAGTTTTAGTTCATGTCTGGGTTTGAAGTACAGGCTGTAATATTTGCCTAAATTAGATTTGGGGAAAAAACAACCTTTTTTAGGTAAATAGCTGGGCTATCTTCATCACTGTTGGATCAAATAACTGAATTATGATCCATGGAATGTAGGTAATTTCCTTATAGTTAGTTAAAAAATTTTATAAATGTACTTTTGACAGGAATCTTGCTTAGCCCTATCTGGAAATTTCAAAGATTGAAATATCATCTAGGTCTACTAAAACTGAATTGCAGAAATTCCAGGTAACCAGTAAATAGGAGCAAAGAGATACAGAAATGTAATTTGCCCAAATATTTGTAGCCCAGGTCTGGGTAGTCCTAGCATCCCAATTCCTAAGAGTACCTCAGCCTAGCAGGTTATGTTTGGTGGTCACAGCTGGCCATTTTAGCAATACATATTTGTTCATTTTCTAGTTTCTTTCCTATATATGAGAGACAGGAATGATATCTTAGAAACAAGCCTGAAAGTTAGCCATAGAGAAATGTACAGAGAAACTTCTTATTTATCTATAAACATTTTCGGGTGCCACTTCACTTCAGACTGTAATCCTAAGCTCTTTACCTGAAAATGTCTCAATAACTTCACAGAAAATTATTTCTAGATATATATATATATGGGATAGGGAAAGATAGTCAAATGCTTACTGTTTAAAAGGCAAGCCTCATCATGCAGATGCTTAGGGATGGCATCTGATGACATAGACAGTAGAATCAAGAATTTGTAGTGAGAATGTTAATTGTAGGCAATTGAGACAATGCAATAAATGCACTTTATTCATTCAGTTTTTTACCAGCAATAATCAGGAAACTCTCAGTAGGTTAAGGTTTGATAATATTTTCCAAACTGTGGAATAGAATTGACTGGTAGGAGTGCAAAAAGCCATAATTGTGGTCTTAGACTTTAGTAAAAGTATTAGAAACTCAGAAGACTTGCACATGCCAGGTAGTATGACCAAATCATACTCAGCTCTGTTTAGTTTCATCAGTCTATTTTTATATCATGCCATGATCAGTCACTTCCTTTTAAAGTAAAATTCATTGAGTTTTTTGGGAACTAACTTCTTAGTGGACATGACGAGGTTCATGATGTGTTCTGATTTCATTTCAGTTTTTATTTTCATCCAGATTAAGCTGCTGCCAGTGTGGGACAAATGCCCCAATTTACTATAATCTTCCTTTATTCATACGTAGCTGCAATTACTAGATACTAGAAGCTAGAATTCTCTTGTCCTGTCGTTTCTGACTCTAGCGGGTAGTACTCATCTCCGTTTCTTAGCCGAGGGAACCAGCATTGTCCGAAGACACTTCCGTGGTCATGTTGCTAGCATGACTATACGCTGAGGTGCACGGAACGCTGTTACTTTCCCACTGAAGTGGTACCTATTTATCTATTCACATTTGCATACTTTCAAACTGGAGAAGATGGGGCAAGTAATGGAAGCTCACCCTGTCGCGCGGCGCTTGGGTCTCAAACCCAGGCTGTCAGCTTTCCAACTGACAAGCCTAGTGATTAATGAGTATAATAGCTTAATATGAATATCAAGATTGATATTTATATCATTCTTCTGTTTTAAGCTTACCTGTAGTGGCCAGTCGAGAAGTTGAAATCCCTTAGTCTAGCCTTTCTCAATTGGGTGCTTTCCTGTTTGACTAGATTATTCCCACCGTCTCCATCCACCAAAATCCTGTTCCATCCTGACAAGGTATGATGAGAATTTTAGTCTGACACATTGGTGGATACCAGATTGTCAGAAGCCATATGCTTCTATCTTTCACTTTGCTAAGTATTAAAAGTTTGATAGCCATTATGTTTTATAAGGTAGTTTTATTTTCTTCACCAAATACATCAATGTCTCAAAGGTGCTTTTTTTTTAAAGGCAATTGGACTATGTTTTTTTTCCTTGAGGAAGAATAAGACATATTTCTTCTCATCCAAGAAACTTCATCAGGTTTGGCTGGATGGTGGGGAGAATGGAAGGATGCCTTTTGAAGAAAAAAAAAACCACCTTTGAGACAACAGTGACCTGGATGACTGATAATCTCCATAGACATATGGAGGCAATTAAAAAAATATATGTTGGTAGATTTCTGCAGTCAAGATAAAGAAAAACAAAAGCAGGCATCATCCAGGATAAAACCTTTGTTAGCGTGAAACTGCATATAAATTTATATTGCTAAATAAATAAAATGTATTGAAATTACTAGGATTAAATAAAATAGGATGGTTGGAAAACTAAAGATGTACAGTGAGCTCAGTCACATAACAAAGATTGCATTAAAGGGAACTGCTGATCACAGTCCAGGAATGTGAACTAGCTTTATAATTGAACTTATCTAATTGGATAGTTTGTTATTATGTAATATTGGAAAGAACCATTTAAAGGCCTAAGCATACGTTTCTTATTTAGGTAATCATTGTTATTCATACCAACTTTCCCATTGACTCAAAACCATCTTCCACTATTATATGCTTGTGAGAGCTGTCAGAAGGGAACTGTCTATACCCTTGTTAACTTTAGAAAACATGCTTGTCTTAGGTGCTATAATTCTTATAATTCTAGATGTCTTAATATGTGTACAATTCTGGAAAAACTATCTTAGTAGAAAGAGGAAAATCACTACTACATATTCTACTGATTAGTGATGTCTTTCTGTCTTCACACACTTTAGATTTGTACATTTTACGTTTAGATATTAACAGTCCATATAAAATAAACATTAAAACACAATTAAATTGTATGATTTCTGCATAATTAAGCACATTTCCATCAATGCTTTAAATAGATTTTATAAAACATATTTAATTATCTAGTATAATTAAGTATGAAATCCAGATTTTTGTCTTATTTTGGTAAATGAAATCAATAGAATTGGATTTTGTGGGTCTACTCTAATCGAGATATATCTGGTTTTTATCTTGAGTGCTTAGCTACAGTTCTTTCTATATAAAACCATAACCTGGTGTCATTAAAAAAATTTTTTTTATTTATCTCAAGTTTTCTGTTGATCCAATAACTGATTAGTTTTCGATTCCTATAGAGACTTGTTTACAAGGCAGCTATAAACAGTTTCCTTTATAAAATATACATGTTTAACACAAATTATTTTTTATACTATTCAGGATTAATAATTTTTGATTCTTATTTACTTTAGGACAAATAATGGCCATTTCACGTGCTTTTTTTAATCCTGTTGGCCCGAATGTCTGTTTTTGATTTGATTTGTTATAATTAGAACTAACTTTGCATGTAAAAAACCCACATTTTTTTACCAAAAGATTATGGGAATCTTTAAATACCTGAAGTATAGGTCACGTGTTTTTAAGCTTCATGCATATCATTAAAATAGCAATTCAGTGTTGAAACTAAGGAGGAAAATCCTAGAGAAAAACCTATTATAAATACTTCCTTTTACGGACAGATTTTTCTAGCCTTAGTGTTGCTGAACAAAGGAAATGTGAGATCACTGCATTTCAATGAAATATCAGTTTCTAATCTGTGGAAAAAGGAGTCTTTCTTTTATGATGGTGACCTGGAATATTCTTTAGAGTTGTTATGGTTACTCAAATAGTGGACAGTATTAACCATGCCTTCCTAATAATGATGCCTAGAGTTTCAGACTGCAATATATAATTAAAGACGGACAATTGAAGCTATGCCATGTGCTACTTAAAAAAAACAAAAAGCCCCAAGGTCATCAGACAGAGTGAAGGAGAATGTGGAATGGAAAAAAAATACATGGGGGGATTCTAAACTAAAAGGAAATTCATTGTCATCAGAAAGATTTACAGCTGAATAATTATGGCTCTCCAGTTCTGCTATGTTAGGTACACTCAACCGTAATATCTCTAGAACTGACATCATCTAAGGATATCCCTTAAGTGCAGATTTCTTTTCCCCCTTAAGCAAGCGTTTGCTCAAGATTCATGATAAACCACAGGAAGGTGCAAAGAGCAATTTATTTAAAAGTGACCTATAGTACTGCTTGTTACATACCTGCATTAGAAAGGGCATTTAGGACCAATTTTGTGATGTAAAGCAAACCATGAATAACTAATGTTGTTTTCTTTTAGGTTTCTTCTTATAGAATGGCTGGGTCACAGATCATTCCTCAAGCTTTATTTCTGAGCAACATGCTAAAAGCTGTGAAGATAAGAGAACTGATGTCGGAAGACCTTCTCAAGTGCAACAATGGAATTATCCAGCATTTTAAAACTATGCATAGATACACCATAGAGATGTTCAGAATGTGTCATTTTTGCCCGCCTTTTCAGAAGCTTCTTCAAAAATCTCTAGTTGACCAAGCAACCCAAAACTCACTGGAACGCCAAAAGAAGTTAAACTGGTGTCGAGAAGTTAAAAAACTTATGCCACTGAAGACTAATGGTAAGTCAGGTTCATCGTATAACTGTAATTTGAAATTGTTCTGACAGGGTAAATGTAACACGTGTGGTATTTTCAACTCCATCTCCTCAAATGCTAGCTCGCTATTCTTATAGTTGGTCCGATGCATCTGAAGGGTACCAGTTGAGTCAGTAGTGGCTGACTGATACCATTTACTATAATTATTCTAACAATGGATCTTGAATGATCCCTGTTTAAATGAAAGTAAATTTAAAAAAAACCATAAATGAGCTGTTTTCTCTTGTTCTTCCTTTTAAAAATGAAATGTATGTCTAATATAAAATGGACTCCCAAGAATAAGTTATATTAATTTCTTAGAAATCCAGTATTATACTCAAAATCGTAGGCTTTTTGGAGCCACAGGTAGCCCGAGTTTCCTCACAGTCATGCCAAATATAAACAAAAGGCACTTGAATGCTAATTTACAGTCGTTTCTTCCATTGTTGTTCATGGTGCCATCCACAGCTGTTCAGTTTTAACAAGGAGATGGACTAATTGAAAAGAATTTATCTGTGGGCAAAAATATTAGATAATCCCTTCTGTGTAGTAATACAAATTTCAGATCAGTGCTTTGTCAGAAAGCTTTATTGGTGTTCTCATATCTTTCTCAGTTTCAGTGTTTCCACTATAATCTCTCTAAACTTTAGCTGTATGTCCGATTAAATGGCTGAAACATTACATAGGAAGTGGTTTGAGCTACAGAGTATTTGAAAGGTATATGCACAAATAAATATATGGAAACAGAATTTGTATTTTGTTCACCTAGCTTCATGTTTGCATTTCCTAAAATGTCTATAATCACAATTTTTGTCCCAAAATTATCTTGCGGTTGTTGACTTATCCAGCTCTTCAGTATAGTCTTAACAGAGGATTAGGATCCTTCATGGGACTGTGAAGTTTTTATAAATGAATTGGTCACCTTTTATTAATACTGTGTCTTGTGATGAATTTAGAAAAAGAATTTTAAAAAGGTTCATTTTTAGGTAGAGTGCTAGAACTGCCAGATTCATCTCAAACAAAGGCAAATCTCTTTTCATTGGCTATCGTATTCAGATACAGAAATCTTTCTGTCACTTATCTACATTCCTCCAGTTTTCTACTTTGAAAGTTTTATTCAATGAGTTGTGCATTGCGGGCTCTGCAGAGGGTAGGTGAGGTATCAAAACAGCTAAGATGAAGGCCTTGATACTGTCCTGTTGAATGTGTATGCAATATTGAAATACATACAAAAGGCAGAGTTTGGAGTGTGACATTATGTCTGCAATCTTGCCTGCTTTGGCCAAATCCCTCTTCCATGGATACTGCTACCCTATAGTGACACTGTTCTTAGCTTCTATGCTTTCAGTTGACTCTCCAAGTGGGCTCCTTATCAGCTAATCACTTCTGTCTGTTAGACAAATCTAGTCCTCTTGGTTGGAAAAGTGGAACTTGTAGTCCACATTTGGAGAGAATTAACCTAGGAATGGCTACCATGGGCATTTTCAGATCTTTCTCCTGACCATTGGCAGACCCTATGCTGCATATCAGAAGCAAAAAATATTGCATTGACTGGGCATATTTCAGTGTATCTGGAATGGGGAATATTGAGAAAGCACATAATAGGGAATCAGAAGATACCTGAGGACTTCGAGCATATGAAGGATTCTATATAGACATGAACATTTATTTTCTTCCCTGTGGAGATAATGACAGGATTTGTAAAAGCAGTTTGTGCATTGTCAGTATAACCATAAGTTGTCATTCTTACAGGACGATATGCATTTTAGAGGAAACTGTTCATTTTAAGAACAAGAAAATAAATGCACCTATAGTTGTAGTAAAGTTAGTTTTAATAAAAGAAGTGCAAATATTAAATGCAGTTGTAGAAATGGGGGGGGGGCTACAAATACCTCACATACATTTGTTAATCTAAAAGACAGTGACTGAAGGAAAGCATGTCATTTGAAAAGATTCCAATATCTACTAACTAGTAATTTCGCTTCTCTAATGAATAGGCATTCCAGCATAACCTAACCACACCCACTTGGAAAGTCCAGTGTGTACTTCACAGTTCAAATGTCTGTACATCAGAACAAGAAGTACAATAGCTGTTACTCAATTACTAGTCAAATATCTTAACACTGGGGAATTCCAAATGTTGCTTAGGGAATTTTGGACTGAGTGGTTCTCAATAAAGAACTGAAAGCAAGCATACACAGGGAAAAAACGTCTTATCTTTGCTCTAGATTTTGCACAGGGAATTTTTTTTAAAGGATGTAATAATAATTGTCCTACCTCTCTATGCCATGTTTTTCTGCTTGCAGAGCCAGAAGCCTGTAAATCATCATTTCATGTCATTCATCTGTTGTTGTTCTTTTCTTCTGCTCTTGTATTTAAAACCCTTTTATATAGTTACTGGGGAAAAAACAAGCTAAGTAAGCCGACTGCACCATGGGAAATGCCTTTCCTAAATTGTCCTAAGTTGAACAAGAGGGGAAGGGAAAACAACAACAACAGACTAACTAGGTTCTTGAAAAAGCTGAGATATTAGTTTATTTACTACTGAACACACTACTTTAAAAATGGTTATAAATCTCTTACTATCTAACCTATAATAGGAAGAAATACAAAATGACGCTTACGATCTTTTACAGCATAGTTGTAACAAAATAAGCACACATTAAAAAGTATGCAAAAATTAATTTTCAAATCTTGATAAATACATATAAAGCAAGGAGCTGTAATATTTTAAAAGAAATTAATACTTGGAAAGCTAATGCTCGCATCAGCATCTAAATTCACTTTGACCTGATAATGCAGATGAATAGCTGCATTATAACTGCCTGCCTGTCCCACCATATGTGCTTATTATCAGGATTCTGTGTACATCAAAGGAAATAGCAAGGGATCTGTTACAATTTGCTGCACACTACAGCATCCCATTAGAGTAACTTGATCAATATTGTCATTACATATACTGATATGCTTTTATTTATATTTTGTAATGTATATTTGGATATCTTGTTTATTTTCCTGTAGGAGATGGAAATTGTCTCATGCACGCTGCTTCCCAGTATATGTGGGGTGTCCAAGATGTTGATCTGCTTCTGAGAAAAACGTTATTTAATGTACTTAAAGAAGCCGATACACGCAATTTTAAACTGCGCTGGCAGCGAGAAACACTTAAATCACAGGAATTTGTGGCAACAGGACTCTGCTATGATACCAGGGTAAAGTAATCCAGTTTATATAAGGGAATAATGTTTGAAATCTTGATATCATTGGTTTGTGATTCCTTGTGGTAATTACACATGATGGGAAGCAATTGAGAAAGTAAAATTGTGGAGCCATCCACCAGTTAAAACGTTTTAATCCTATAACTTTACTGGATTGCTCAATTCATTAACAAAGAGTTTCACTATTGCGGAATTTCCAGAGCAAGCAACCTCCCCCAATTTGGGTTATTTCCATGGACCACCCACATCTTATGAAGTTGGTGTTCGTCTGTTTTTCCTATTATGGAGATATACACCATTAACAGCAGTAGTAAAAATAAGAAATGAAAACAGTTATATATGTTTTTTTTTAAATTCCTGCCTCTTGGGAATATGTAGGATGGTCATAACCTATTCCACCACAGAGTCTCTGCCAGCTGAATATTTCATCCTGTTTTCAGTTTCACTCTGCAGATTGCTGATGGTTATCCATACAAATCTTCCTAAGAATATCTAGCCACTTTCTCTCATTTATCACTAGTTTGCCTAACTAGAAGCAGTAACTTAGATGAGCCGTCCAATCCTTCCCTAGCAGACAGAATGATGTTCAGTCTGAATTGGCAGCCTTATAAGTAGTCACTAGTCTGGTTACTTTTTTCACTGGAAATTAATGTAGAAGTGCCAAGTGCTATTTCTGTCTGTGGATGGGCTCCAAAAGGAGTAGTCCTAGATTTTTTTTAAAAAATACATGTTTTGCTAATCAGGTAACTTTCCTAATAGTTGAAATATCTTGATCCAAGCAACAGGAGACTGTTGCGAGCTGGTACCCTCATGTACCATGATACATTTCTTCACCATCATTTCATGCTGGTACATAGGGATAGCTATGGGGTAAACACATTCATCCTGTTGGGACTTAGAATGTAAAATAAGGTAGTGTGTAGGAATGCTATTAAAAATAATAAAACCAGTGATGGAGTCATGTTTAGAACTGATTTCCAGAAGAATGATTGGGAAGAAGAGTAAAAATGACCACTGTAATCAGAACTCAATACTGCATTTATCAATACTTCACTCTTTCAACATGATGTACTATAAAATACATTGATTTGTAGCAGAAGAAAAACTTTTAAGTGTATTTCTGGTGTGCAAGGGCTTTAGCATTGCATGATGATTCCTGATGCATCTTATTTTTCTACATTAGAACTGGGATGACGAATGGGACAATCTTATTAAAATGGCATCTGCAGAAACATCAATTGCACACACAGGCCTTCAGTATACTTCTCTGGAAGAAATCCATATATTCGTCCTTGCTAACATCTTAAGGCGCCCCATCATAGTTGTTGCAGGTAAGAATTGATGGACATAATAGCAATACTTCTAAGACCCCATTTTATGAGCTCACACTTGTCTATATGTGTTATCATCCCTCCACATAATAATTGCCTAAGAAGGACAATTAGTATTTCATAATTTGACCCCAATTCTTCCATCTTTCCCAATATGCATTCATTAAGGGATCAACAGTAAATCTTCCCTCTGTTCCACATTCATTCATTGTGCAGTTGTAATTTGGTACAATGTGCAATCAAGGTTCTAGAGCAGGGTTGCCAGAGGTGGCTCCCAGTCTCCTTTTCTTCAACTTTTGGAATCCTCTTTGATTTTGATAGTTAAAAAAAACCAAGCGTGGCTTTCTACACAAGACATTAGAATTGTTATATATCTGTTTTAAACTAGGCATAAAAAAAATCCACCAAACTGCCCACCTACCCAGCCATTTACAATATTACTTTACTCACTGTCCAGCCTTCATTCTCCCCAAATCAACTAGTCTTAAGTTGTTGTCACATTGAGTTGTTTGTGTACTGATGAATCTTTAGAAATTAAAATAGAAGAGCCTAATATTAACTCAACCCATTTGTCTTTTCTTAACGCTAAACAGATAAAATGCTCCGAAGTCTGCAGTCAGGTTCCAGCTTTTCCCCTCTGAATGTTGGTGGAATATATCTGCCTCTCCATTGGTCAGCAGAGGACTGTTACCGATATCCTATCATTCTTGCTTACGACAGTATGCACTTCACTCCTTTGCTTGTTCTGAAGGATAGCGGGCCAGGTATACATTTGAACATTACCAGTCTATATTATGCTTCTGTTTTCCTGTTCCCTCTGCCTTCCGAGCTAACAGCCACAAACCTGTTTTGAATTGTTAAGAGTCACTTTAGATAAATGATTTACCTTGTTAAAAATTCCCGATATTTTTTAATCACTTGCTTATACTTCATTAATGCCATTACTAGATTTTTGTTTACATCATTGGTTGTTTTGATAAAGATTGCCGAAGATTGATCTATTAGTGACGTTTGCCGCAATGCGCTCTTCTCTACCTTATTTGATTCATTCCCTTTTTCTTATTTCTTTCTACAGAAATCAGGGCAGTTCCTTTAGTCAGTTGCGAAAGAGGAAGATTTGAAGACTTAAAAGTGCATTTTTTAACTGACGCTGAAGAAAGGGAGAAAGAAAAACTGAGGAGAGACTACCTAATGGTGATTGAAATTCCTGTACAAGGATGGGACCCAGGGACAACCCATCTCATTAATGCTGCAAAGTTAGTATAAGTCTTGTCCACTTCCAGCCTTATTATTTGATAATCTTTTTTGAAGTATTGTAAGTACCCTCTTCAAAGATGTACAGTGGTTTTTTTTATATATATAAATATTTTATTGGTTTTTTTTTTTCATAAACATGTACAATGTTAATGTTAAGCAAAACATACATGTTAATTCAGGAAGCTACAAAAAATAGTGAACATTGATCCTGCTCCTGATCTTCAATCAGGAACTGATAGATTATTTTTTTTTAAAGGTATTGTCTCCAGCAGGGGTGTCAAACTGCCGGTCCGCGGGCCGGACGCGTCACGCGGAAGCCGCGCCCACCCCATTGCCAGCAATGGCAAAACCGTCCCGATACGTTGCGCGACATCACGTGACGTCGCGAGTTTGACATGTCTGGTCTACAGCTTTTTTGTCGCTCCTCTTCCTGCAAAGATGGCAGTCCAAGATGAAACTATCTTACTCTTTTACTCTCTGAAATTCATCTATCTGAGGGGCAATAAGGATATTCATATACTATTCCTTTCTTTTTCCCTTGTATATGAGGGTATGCGTGGGGAGGGTGAGTCAAGGAAAAGTGTGACTAGTCTTTCATTCTTATTATTGATCGAGTCTATATGCCCAGCCATCATGCTTACCTGTAAGAATTCCTTGCCACTAATGGGAAAAAAATGGTTCATTCATACCAATGTATACATGGAGAGCAAACCTTTTGTAAAATGAGATGTGGATCTACTCTTTGTTCAGATATCAGTATGCAAAGAGGGCCATATATAAAGACATGGAAGTACCACTGCTACAGTGGGGGGGGGGGAGACATAGCGGCAGCATAAAATATTTGAACGGCAAACTCTCAAGTTATATTCCCTGTTCATGTTCTTTTAACTATATGAGACGTTTCTAAGCATCTCTAATCAATCACTGTCATGGCTAAGCAGTAAATTCAATTAAGGTTTACCTTACAGAAGCTTAGTGCCATTCACTACCATGTTACATTCAGTAAACCATAATGCTCCTCAGATTACCATGATTAGATTGTTGAATGCCTCTTTTCTGTTAGCCTTCTGGAATGACATGAAATAACTTCCCAAATTTGGAACAAGTATGAGCAGAATTTTTTTTTAATGCAAATCAACTGGTCCACAAGCAGATCAAAAGCTTTAATTTGTATTTAATTCCTGGAATGCAGCTAAGAGTTCCATGAAAAACATGTCCATATGCCTCCAAAGAATATTGCCCCCCAGCAAGATAGGTAATAGCAATTTAAAGTGACCTGCATGTTGATTAAAACAGCAGTACCATCGCCTTGTCCAGAGTCCATTGTGTGCTGCAACATTTTTATAACTGCATATTTGCTTCGGTGAAATAAATCACTCCTGTTCCTACAACTGTATTAAATTAAATTTTCTGAATAGTATATTATTGGCCTTGTAGACCAGACAGAAAAAGTATCCTGATGCGGGCTCAGTTGCCTTTTATCTGATCGTTCCCTTGATTATGTCTCTGCCCCATGTCCCAAGGTCATTCCCACATATCATTAAAATTGTATTGCACAAAGCATTGCAGAAATCAAGGCTATGGAATATTCTGTGGAATAAATAAACCATAACAAAGGTATTTTGAACAAGAAAAGGGGGCCATAGTTGGTGTTCCAGCTAAGCTAGTCTTCCAATTACTTTCTTTTGTTGTAATATTTAGAATTATTTTTAGACAAAACTATGTTGTGATGAGAAGTTATATTGTTTCATAGGGAAGAAATCTAATTGGAGTGAAAAGTGGAGGACCATAAGCCACCTAGGCCAGGGGTCTTCAAACTTGGCCCTTTTATGACTTGTGGACTTCAACTCCCAGAATTCCTCAGCCAGGCACGCTGGCTGAGGAATTCTGGGAGTTGAAGTCCACAAGTCATAAAAGGGCCAAGTTTGAAGACCCCTGGCCTAGACCTTACAATTTGGTCCATGATGTAATTAGGAAGGAATGTTCTTAACATGCTAAAAGAGGGCATTAAATGTCATTGTCAACTCTTTCCGCAAGTATGCATGAAACTGTTCCCCATAATTTCATCTTTTTTTAAAAAAAAAAATCCGCTTCCTTCCATAACATATTATTAGTGTAGCTTTTCAGTTGTAATGCTATACTTGTTTATGTAAATCACAGGTCTTCCAACTTCCCAGTTTCCTCCTAGCTTGTATAAGATCACTGCCTTTTCTCCCTCCAGTGATATCAATTCCTTGTCCCTTTGCTTTTCAAGGTTGGACGAAGGTCACTTGCCCAAAGAGATTAATCTGGTGGAAGATTACTTTCAGCTGGTACAACATGAGTACAAGCGGTGGAAAGAAAACAGTGAATTTAGTGGGAAGGAAACAGGTGCGGGAAACAGGCTGGAGCTGCAGTTATCCCAGCTATCGCTTATGGAGGCAAAATGTGAAACTCCCAACTGTCCTTTCTACATGTCTGTGAATACCCAGCCATTCTGCCATGAGTGCTCTGAACAGAGACAAAGGGCAAATTTGGTAAAGAGGCAGCATTTCTGGTCCAGCTCAGAAAAGCCCCGGGTAAATAGGTCCAGTTACCCAAAGGATGAGCACCACCAGCCTCCTGCCTGGACTTCGGAGAATTCCAGCACAGAACCTCGTTCTGCACCCCCCACCGCTCCAAGTCTTTTTCTATACAGTGAAACAACAGCCATGAAATGCAGGACCCCAGGCTGCCCTTTTACACTGAATGTGCAATATAACGGGCTTTGTGAGCGTTGCTACAGCTGTACAGAGATCAATCCTTGCAATAATCCAAGCAACCCACAGCATTCAAATTGTGTGACTTGCACATCCTGCCTTAAGGACACCAACAGAACCTTCAATGGGATGTGTAGCGCTTGCTTCAAACGGACTAGAGACCCTTCCTCAAATGCCAGCTCTGGCGCTATGCCTTCAAGCCATCAGAGGTCCTCTTCTGATCCTATTCCTGTATCACAAAGTTTTTTGCAGCATTCCTGTCATACAGCAACCAACAGCAATAAGGCGGACGTGCCACCATATGTTCAGCCCCAAAGAACAGAACCGAGGACGAGAAACAATAAATGCAGGAAGCCTGGCTGTAATTTTTTTGGGACTCTGCAGAATGAAGGCTTTTGTACCCTGTGTTATTTTGAATATCAAGAAAATAGAGGCAAGTAAGAGAATATCATTTGGTTCTATCTTCCTTAATGAGTTGGGAGGGACTAAATTTTGAATTTGCAAGAGAACATCAGATAAATGCAAATGGAGTATAACAAAATAGCCTTTTGACTAAGACCGAGTATAGTACATAGCTCTGAAGCCTTTGAAGTGTTGTATTTTTGCACATGCAGCCAAGGGTAGAATTTGCTCATCTTGCATTGGTCATTTACCACAATGTTAAAAATTCCAGGGCTGTTTTCATATTTTGCTGAGATACACAGAACAGGCCTAATTACATCTGTTTATTGTATTAGAGATCATTTTTGTTACTGGGGAACTTTAGATTTTCTGACTTCATCTGGAATTGAAATTCGTAGCAATTGTAAGTTTAGTACAATTATAAATAGTAGAATATTTTACAGTATAGTAAAAATAGAGAGTTGATATCTGTCTTTCCTCATGTATCTCATTGCCATAAAAAATGTCACCAGCTACTTAAGCAGTTACCAAAAAAGGCCCAGGGAGTTTTTAAAAATACCCTTCCTAAATTATATGCCTCAGCTTTTCTTCTGAATACAGTACTACAATGGTAGAATTCTGTCCTCAGAATTTACATTAGAGTGATTGTTTTTCTCCTGTTCTCCTTTTATTATAGAGGCTCCCCTGCTTCATCAGCGAAGGTCTCCTGTGACTTCTCCTGTTTTGGAGCATCCTGGGGTCTCAGCTGCTGTCTATCAGAATACCATTTCCTGTCCGGGCCGAGAATGTGTCACAATAGGGAGCACCATGCTTGAGGGATACTGCCAGAAATGTTTTATTGAAGCCCAGAGCAAGCGGCTCCACGAAGCCAGAAGAACGGAAGACAAAGTAGTGAGACAATCAGAGGTCAGCGCGCAAATGCAACTCATTCTTCCCAATGTAATCTTGTACCTATCTTCCCAGACAGTCTATATATGATTCCATGAAAGAATCAGCAAAATATTGCCTTCTACTGAATGTACGTGTTCATTGTAGAGGATTCTGGAAGATGATGTGGTATGATAAATGTTTGCCCACTTCTTGGAAAGGGGGAAGAAAGCTTTCTGCTTCTGTTTCTCAGCACAAATATTGTTTGGTAGAGGTGTCTTTCCATAAAGGGTCATTTTGATATTGCAACATCCCAGTAGTCAGTAGATCGATGGGGATTAGATCATAACAACAACATGGATAAGGAAGTAGTTATTTACAAAGGGAGGAGAGGGAAAAGCTGATGTTTACCACAACTAGGAAATTCACGTTTTGCATTAGCCACATGCCAAGTTAATCTGTTTTACATGCAGGCAGTTGTTCACTCATTCTCTATGTTGTAGTCAGCACAGTTTTCAAGAAAATCAAGTATACTTCTTTTTCTTTTTAAACGAACGGTTAAAAATTACTCAGCTTCTACGTAAATTTCGTTAAGTACTCTTTTATCCATGGTAGTTAATGAGGTCTAGCGTAAAAGCAGCAAGTTTATTGAAAGGGAGACCTTTAACTGCTTTCCATTTAAAAGATGCTTTTAATGTTTTCAGCATACGGGACAACATCAAGATTTACACCAGAAAACTACACACTCTCAAAAACGGAAATGTGCTAAAGCTTCATGTAGAAATAACTTAGCTTCTAGGAGTGCGGAGGTGTGTCAGGAGTGCTTGCGTGTCAGCCAACGGGGACAGTCTGGAACACCTCAGGTTGAACCTCCATCCGATGAACTTCCCAAACAGCTTTGCCGAGCCCCTGCCTGTGATCACTATGGTAATAACAAGTGCAATGGCTATTGCAACGAATGCTATCAGTTCAAACAAATATATGGATAGCAATGCCCTTTGTTTTTTGCCTTGCAAAAGAAAAGGAAGGAATGGTGCTATGTTCAAAACACTTAATTGTCTTGCTACCCACCTGATCTTCACTCTGGTGAAAAAAGGTGGTTTTGGAGGGGAAACAATAAGCTGTTTTTTTTTGTGTGTGTGCATATGTAGATATGTAGATACACATACGTATGAATCTGCCGAACTATGCAGGTTCAAAACATTAATCCTGGGATAGAAAAGCAGATTGCTTCCAGCACCAATGGTGATTGGCAAGACATTTTATACTTGACTACAAAACCCCTTCTCTCCAAAATGTTTTGGGATTGTGCTTGGTATTGGAATATTTACTTGTATGAGAAAAAAGGATAAGGCTGCTTGTTGCATGCTTTTTTTCTAATACGTCTCTTGCATTCTGTCTAAATTGTGAGCATTCTGAGTATAATGAAACCAGCCAAAAAACTGAAATGAACCGTTTTTCTACAACAGTCATCAGAATTGTGTGTCTGATTGCTCTGAAAATGTTGATGTGGTAGGGCTAAGATTGAACAAAATATTAGGAAGTTGTGGGAGAACTTTTTACAATTTTTGCTTGCTTGTCCTTTTTTTTAAATTGTTGGCTCTTGCTACATTTGTTTTATATAGTTTTTTTTTTTGGCAGTGTTTCCAAATAAAAGTTTTATGCACGTAGAGCACCTATAAACCTATACAATTTGCCCTTGGAATGCTGACTGATGTTTTTCCATTTACTATTCTGTGCAGTTTGAATGAGGGTGTAGTTGCTAAACCTCTTGTAATTTAGAATGTGAAAGAACATAGGTACTTTTAAGTATAACATTTGAGAACGGCGGGGGGGAAGGGGGCAGAGGGAAAACATGGGAAAAATAAGAGTTCCTAAATAAAGATATTCATGTATATTGATTGACATGAAAGCAGACTGACAGATTAGAAAGAGCCTAGTCTATGTTTACTTGAGAAAAAGTCCAACGGTGACTGTTCCCTATTGTGGATCAGGGGTCCCCAACCCCTGGTCCGTGGACCAGCACCGGTCCGCAACATGCTAGAAACCAGGCCACGCAAACAGGCAAAGCCCAATCCATAGGATGCAGACAGCACCCGAAACTACTCCCCCTCTGGTCTCCACAGAACCGGTCCCTGGTGCCCAAAAGGTTGATATAACAAAGATGCTTTCTCTTCATGTCTGGCTTCTACTATTTGATGAAAAGTTTGCTGAACTGTCACAATCCTTTCAGAATTTACTAAAAATTAAGGATGATTTTCTGTGGGTCACTGTGTCCTTACAGTTAAGTCTTAACTTCTGGACTATGAGGCTCCCAAAGAAGACAGGCTTGGGTATTTTGTTTCTGCTTTTTCACATTCACACATCCCTACAATCCTCAGTTTTATCTGACTGCTGATATATCTAATAGTGAGGAAAAAGTAGGCTCTGTGTTGTTTGTAAGGTGGCCACTCCTGTGAAATCCTATTTATTTCCACAGTGCAAGCTTGCAATTTTGGACCATTATCTGCCATATCTGCATCTTATTCTCAGCTAAGCACCAAACAAGAAAATATTTGGAGCTCTGCCATTTAAATCTTGCATTTTTCCTAAGGTTCTCGTGCCTTCTCTTGTTTTCTTTCTCTGAATATGGCGGGGATGGGGTGTGGGAAGGAGGGAAACATGTATGCCAAATGCTTGCATTTTGTATGTGTATGTAATCTCCATTATGGGAATCACTGCTACTGTCTCAGTCCTTTGCTGTTGAAATTTCTTTGTGTGATTTTGTGAGCTTTGTAAAACGTGAAGGCATATTTAAATATTTATGTTATTTCAAAAAAATGTAATTTTGAAATTTGCACATTGCCAATACAATAATTTGCTCCTTATATCATTCTCATTTTCCTTTAAAAAAATCCTTCTTTTTAATACAGATGGGAAGACAATGAAGGGAAATCCAGCAGCCAAAATAAATTATTTAAAGATTTGTTTAATTGTACTTTTGTGATTGTTTGAAAACATCCCTTGTGGGGGGGTTCATAGATGTGAAGAGCTACCTTTGGCATTTCCTTTTCCCTGAACTTCATCACTGTTTCCTTGCCACCTACTTGTTTCCTTACAAATGTCATCCCTCACAGTTTCTTCAGCAGTTTAACTACTAGTTTTAGGTCCATGGATGCTCTACTCCAGTGGTTCTCAATCTGTGGGTTGGGACCCCATTTGGGGTCGATCAACCATTTCATGGGGGTCGCCAAGCAAGGCTGTCCGCCATTTTTTTTGTCCGCCATTTTTTCTGTCTGCCATTTTTCCCCCCTTTTCTGGCGGGTGCCTTACCTCCCTTGGGCTGGGCCAGCTGGTGGTCGGCCTGCTCCATCTCTGCCGCTTGCCAGCTACGCCTCGGCCGGCGCAGGGGGTGGAACCACGCATGCGCAGCGCTCCCGGGCAGGGAAAGTCCTCGACTTACGACCGGTTGGGTAGTCCTCGACTTACGACCGGTTAAGTCCTCGACTTACGACCGGTTTAGTCCTCGACTTACGACCGGTTGGGGTCGCGGCATTAAAAAGGTTGAGAACCACTGGTCTACTCTATACCATTTCTTAGCAGCTTTGCCTTCCTCATCTTTTTCTGCTTCTGAAATAGTTCTGAAACTACTTCCACTCCATAGTACTTCCCCCCACCCCCACTATACCACTTGCTTTCCAGAAAGGGAATTATTTGCTGTACTGCCTGCCAAATTTGGGTCTTTGTCTCCTAATAAAGACACAGAGATGTCTATGAAGACCAGTGACGCTCTTTCTTGTAATAAATAATATCAGTTGAAGTTCTGTTGCACCTACACTTTTTCCTCTTCCTTCCAATTATACTCTTCAGCACAGATAATTAAAAAGGATGTATCCTCTCATCACATTTTTTTTTGAGGGACAACTATCTTTTCCCCAGTTCAGGAGATCTGAATGTATTTTCGTTAGCAACATTCATGGTTCTAATTTAACGTTAAATTTTAAAAATCTCATGTGAGGGAATTTCATTTTACATTGTTGTGGTTTTGTGATTCTACATTTCCCAAAGTAACAATCAGCCTATATATGCCTTTTCTACCCAAATTATTCCTTTTTCATCTGTTCCAGGGGTCTTCAAACTTGGCCTTTTTATGACTTGTGGACTTCAGCTCCCAGAATTCCTCAGCCAGGCATGCTATTCAGTACCAACTGATAAGTTATCTCAGCTGCTGTCATCATTGTATCTGATCTCCTAGCCTTATTTTTAATTCACATAGCAATTAACAACAAAATTTACTAATTCTATTATTTTTGAGCCTACACTAATTCTCTCCTTTTCCAGCCTAGTTGGCCTTTTCTAATGTGGTTCAGAAGCCCTACTTAAGCATGTTGACAGCAAGAAAAGGAAGCAAATGAAGAATTCAGTCTGAAAATTAATTTTTATAGCCAGCATATTATAAAATTATAATTTTTGTAATTATAATTCTCAAAGGCAAAACCATGACAAAACTGTGGGTTGTATTTGCAGTTAAAATTTTATTTCTCTTGACATCTGGTTTCTTGGAGGAAAGGAGGTTAAGGTTGCTAAAAAGGAGAGATCAACAACTAGACTTAAACCAGACATAGCACTAGAGCAGTGGTGGCGAACCTATGGCACGTGTGCCAGAAGCGGCACTCAGAGCTCTCTCTGTGGGCAGGTGCACCATACCCTGGAGATGGCAACCGTCCCTCTTTAACCAGCTGCCTGCTAACTCGCTGAGGTCCCACATGGCCAGATGCATCCCAGCATGGCTGGTTTCCCTTCCCCGCGTCCCATCCCTCCTGGCCTTGCATTCTCTCCTTTTCCCGGGCATGACCCACTGAATCGCCTCCTCAGCTGTCGGCCGTCCGTCCAGCTCAGAGGCAGCTTCTCTGAACTGCTGGTGGCGAGCTGCGGAGCCCCAGAGTGCACCAGTCAAAGGGATGGCAGGCTGTGGCTGCTGATGGACACTGTCGGCTCCCATGCACTGGCTGGCCTCTGTGTGCAGGGGCTGATAGTATCACGCAGCAGCCGCCCTGGCCCCTGCCTCACCTTACCCTGCGACAATGGCACCCCCGTCCTGCCTCGCCTTGCCTCGCCTCACCCCGCAGGACGAGCCTCCTGCCCTCCGCTCCAGAGGGCAGGAGACCCCCTGGATCTTCCCCAACCTGCCCAGAGACCCCCTGGATCTTCCCCAACCTGCCCAGCCCCCACAGGCATTCCTCCCGAGCAAGATCGAGATGACCACACCCACCTTGGCCACACCCACCCAGTTTGCCATGACTACAGCCACGCCCACCCAGTGGCCCACGACCACCTGGCACCCGCCAATAAATAAGTGGGTTTTGGGTTGCAGTTTGGGCACTCGGTCTCTAAAAGGTTCACCATCACTGCACTAGAGGAAATGATAACTTTTTTAATTTGTAGACTCAGAAGGGAGTAGTGCTGGAGCATTGGTTTTAAGAATAGTTCCATTAGGACAAACATTTTCTCTGTTAGCTCGTAATTTCTTGCAGTTTAGTTTCTGGCAGAATTCTAATTTCAAGGTGGAAACCAAGTTTATGCCTGTCCATTGCCCTCAATAAGTGTCTTGCACTCCTGAAAACTGGCATGTGGTTAAAAGAAACTGATGTACAAAACTAGTAAGTGGTTAAAAGACAACATTTTACAGTAATAAAACCAGAAACTTCCTCCCTCTCTTCCTTTTCTCTATCACCATCTCTTTTTAAAATATTTAATAAACGTGGAGTCCTTGGTGTTCTCTAAGCTTGGTTGTTTGCTTGCAGATATTGGGTGTTGGTTGCTGGAGAAGATTGTGGGTGGTTTTGTTTCCTCCTTAGCTTTTTGTCTTTATCTCATTTGAACGGGGTGTAAATGGTTTATCTCTATGTGTCTGTTCTACGTGACTATGTGTCTATTCATCAGTCGGCAGCCAGATAAATAGGGATTAACATCAAATAAAAAACCAAGCAGAAAACAATATCCTAATCAAGGAACTACAAAGAAGAAAGTCTCATCCCCACCAACTT